CATCGAGACGCGAATTCAGCGAAGTCATCGTCGCTCGACGTCGAGCTGCGGCACGCGGCTTCTTTCGATGGCCGCGCGCGGGTTGGATCTTTGCTGTCGTGTGATCGCGCGTTTATTCTCAATTGAAAATTTCCCATGAGCTTCCCGAGCGAGCGAGCGAGCGAGCGTGCGAGCGAACACGGCCGATGATTCCCTCGGGATCCTCCCGTTTCGCCTTTTTCGAGCTTTGTTTTCTAATATCGCGAAACGATAAACGCACGCTCCTCCTGATAATGGGTTCCTCTTATCGCTTTCGAATAGTCGACACTCTCTTGTTCGCGGTCGCGCTGGGAGCGCAAGAATCGCCATCAGTGTCTCTTTATAGAAACGTGGCCGCCAGGTGCGAGCGTTGTTTACGCACCTCATCGTGAAAACACTCGTTCAATCTTTTTCTCACTCTCTCTCTCTCTCTCTCTCTCTCTCTCTCTCTCTCTCTCTCTCTCTCTCCCTCGCACGTGACTCCTCGAATCGACTCCAACGAACGAGTCAATATTAACTATCTTGTTTTCATGACAATCTTATCAGCGTTGCCTAACGCAACGATCGGGTTTCGTCGGGTGGACAATTTCATAGAGATCTCATCAAGATTGTAGTCTGTTGATGATACTCCCGTAAACAGTCGCCGCCTGCGAGCTACCGTGCGAGAGCTCGACAAACAGCCGTGAGTATAATTAAATAGACGCAGCTACGCTTTCTTAATGAATTCAAAGTATCGACTCGACGTTGGCCGGCCGGCCGGCTGACGGCCGAGCGACGAGAATGCCGCAGGACGGACGAGATAGACAATTCATTCCTCGTCGGTGATGTGATCATCCTTATTTCTCCGGCGCGTCACGTGACCATGGGCCTGCGCGAAATAGTGGTCCAACGGGATGGTATCTCCCAGCGACCTCGAGACATGTCAGACCGAGATCAACCTATCGGAAGACAACGGCTCGTCCATCACGAACATGCTGAGGCCCGGCGGCGGAGGTCCGCGAAAAAACTCGCCCGCTGCCGGGCGAAATATCCAAGGGCCCTGTTATCCACAAGTTAGCCCCGATGTCGCTCTCCGACCGTCGCGAATTAATAAAATCGATCGGGCCGTTCGAGCGAACGAACGACGGCCGCGGGGCCGTCTCTGCTCCGCCGAGAGAGACGGATTTCGCGGGGGGAGACGGCGGGGGATCTCGTCGCGCAGCGCGCGCGTAACGCGCAAATAATAAATCGCGATAAACGTAACAATTACGTCAGCGGCCTCTTACCCGTGGCGGTCGTGAAGATTAATCGCGCTCGCCACGGAGTGAATTCTAGTCGCGCGCGCGCGCGCGCACGCGGCGTTTCGCAAGGGGACGACGCCGGAGGAGGGCGGCGCGAGGGGAGGACGGGACGGATCGAGAACCGTAAATTTCATGCAGATTTCCTTCCGTCACCTCCCCCCGTCCCCCGCCAGGGGCCCATGAATCACCGACCGGCGAACCTGTTTTTTCGGTGAAGGCCGCCTCCCTGTAGCATTCGTCGCGCTGAGAAAACAATGTTTATCATCGCTTTATCTGCGCGCGCCACTCTCTCGAGACAATGACGATAACGCGCAACGCGTTATCACGCCCGCGTGATATGATCGCGTTTTTACGAGTTTTTCACGCTCCTCCCTCCCGTGCGAGTCGGCGATGACTCTCGCTCTTTCTCTCTCTCTCTCTCTCTCTCTCCTCTCTCTCTCTCGATCGCAGGACGCTCGCGTGGATTCACACGTCCGCGAAACGCAAAAGTGCGCGGCGGCGCGAGTGTTATTACGAGTCAATAGCTCCGGACGCGCCGACATTGTGCAACAATGTCTCTCTCGAGTGGAAGTCGCAATAAATAGAGAGAGAGAGAGAGAGAGAGAGAGAGAGAGAAAGAGAAAGAAAGAAAAAAAGAGAGAAAAGACGAGTGTCGTTCATTGACTTGAACATTTTCGAAAATCTCAGCTCGCGCATAGAATCCTTCCTTCCTCTACCGCCGCCTTAACATCCGATAAGCCTCCCTCCCCTCCCCCCACGGCGTAATCGCACGAGGTGAAACATTGGAGCGCAGTGTGTCGATACGCGCTACCTTTTCGTTATTTACCGCGGCACCGACGCATAAACAGCGCCGCGTTCATACGAGTAAGCCATTAAGCGGCTTTGATGTCGGGACAAAAAGCAGCGCGTGCCGTCAGGTGCAAATCGAATCAGTGAGTATGATGCTCGCGTTAAAGCGATGCAAGCAAACGAGCGAGTAGCGAGTAGCGCGCGCGCGCGTTCATTCGCTAAATGGAGCGGTAGCGGCGGCGACATGAATGCGCGTTTTAGCAATTTATTCGACCAACACGTGCCTACATGGGAAGGTCGCGAACTGCGCGTAGGAGGTCACGGAGCGTCGTTCTGTACACAATACATTTTACGTGCGAGCCGTTCGCCAACGCGCAGGCATACACCGGAAGGTTTCACGACCGCGTTCTCCCCGCGGCACGTGGAGTCGTCGCGCAGCGTCGTAAAAGAATCGCGATCGCGACGGCCCCGATATCGATGATATCTACGGACGGAAGAAAAGCATGGCGGCGACGGCGACGGAGGCGGCGCGCAAAATTGGCGCGCTCCGCAGGAGTCAAGCTCCAAGCGGATGTACGTCGTCGCGTCAAGACGGACTTTCGCTTCATTAAGCAGCGGAGCACTCGTCAAGCTACGCGGACGTAAGAAATCGCGACACTCGACGCGACAGCGGCGCGGCGCGGCTGTTCCGTTAGAGAGCTCTCTTGGGCTGCCTAGCGAAAGAGAGTTAAGGTCGTCGAGCGGCGACGCATGACGTCAGCTCGGTATTTATGAGCGCGCCCGTGGAGACCGACTTCGCGTCCGCGAATAAGCCCGCGATTCGTACTCCAAGTGAGATCCCCCGTTGTCCGCGAGGCTCTTCGGCGGCGCACGTCGCGAGCCGCCCCCTCGTCGAGAGCGTTCAAGGTCCCCGCGGACACTTTTCGCACGCGCGCGCGCGCGCGCGCGCGTGCCTTATTGATCGCGACGGGCAAAAGTTGCGCGAGGTAGCACGTGGCCTTCGAGGTGATCCTCGGACAATGTGGTCCTCTCTAGTGGTCGCCACCCACGAAACCGCCGCCGTTCTCGCTCGCGAGGTGAGCGACATCCGCCTGCCGCTTTCGACAAACAAGATAAATCACTGACGCAAGCGCGAATGCCGCGTATGGAGCAGCCGCGCGATTCCGCGATTTCAGTGAACTGCAGAACGGTGCAGCGCTTGCTTCACGTTCACGGTGTCATACCGTGCCGCGACGATGTGACGTGGCCTACGAGAATAGAGCTAGAGAATATAGATAGAGCTGTCTCCTCCTGGTCGATCTGTATTGTTAATTCAGTTTCGTCGGGAATATGGCGGTCTATGACGCGCGCGCGCGCGCGCGCGCGCGTGAGCGCGGGAAAAAGGCGAGGGTTAGGCGCGTAATGACCTTGTTGACGGGACGACGTAGAGGAAATTTCGATGAGACGCGATCGATCGACTCGACGGGGTCTCGACCCGATCGAGCCTGCGCTCTGCTCGACGGAATGCCGACTCGTGCGCGAATTATCGGCGAAATCCGGAATAGCCACCGACGAAATCAATCTTACCGGGCGATCGATCAAAGCCTAAAAGTGTACGGCTTTATGCTCTTAATTGACGATACTTTGGAACACGGTAGGGGTTTCAGCGCTGCTGCTGCTGCTGCTGCTGCTGCAAGGTAGTATCGAATTACGGAAGGTATACGCCAACGGCACTTGGAGGGCATCCCAATCGAGCGAGCAAAAGTTCACGCCGCGATAACTCGACGAACGAATCCCTCAGGTCCCTCTCTCTCTCTCTCTCTCTCTCTCTCTCTCTCTCTCTCTCTCTCTCTCTCTCTCTCTCTCTCTCTCTCTCTCTCTCTCTCTCTCTCTCTCTCTCTCTCTCTCTCTCTCTCTCTCTCTCTCTCTCTCTCTCTCTCTCTCTCTCTCTCTCTCTCTCTCTCTCTCTCTCTCTCTCTCTCTCTCCCTCCCTCTCTCTCTGCGGCTTGGTCCGCTCCGAGTAGAACCCTCTCGCGCGCGCGCGCGCGCGCGCAAAATTATCCGGCGAATCGTATCGCCGTTCGAGCTCCCAATAAAATTCGAACGCTATATGACTCATCGCGGACGTGACATGCATAAAGATTATAAATGCCGAAGAATCACACATTAATTTTAGAAGTATATTTTACGATACACACACACGCACACATGCATATCGCGCACGGCAGTGTTCTCTGGACGTGAGACGTGTGAAATATCGAAAGAAAAAAATTATCCATTATTCGGAGACTCCAATCGCGTCAGAAAATGATCATCTGCTCCGAGTCGAGGCGTCTTAATTTCACGTGGGAACGGATGTGTACGTGTGTAATAGTGAAGTAAGCGTCTTCGGGAACACCTGCAGCCGAGAGTCGAGATAGATTCAGCTGCTGACACAATTTTTCGCGATAAACTCTGCACACGATAGTGTATCATGTTCTGGAGCACAGAAAAAATCCGTGAGATTATCTTTTCGACCTTGAGCAGTCGTTTACAGTTTCCTCGAGTGATCTCTGGAGCATTAATCATCTTTCTCTCTCTCTCTCTCTCTCTCTCTCTCTCTCCCCCCCCCGTCCTCTCCTTCATCCTCCCACCCTCATCCGCCGCTCTCTCTCTCTCTCTCTCTCTCTCTCTCTCTCTCTCTCTCTCTCTCAACTACGCGGCTAGGAAAGGTAGCGAGGCTGAGCCCGACGAGTAACGAGGCAGCGAAGATACGACATGCGAAACGATGAACATACTCAAACTACATCGGCTACGTCGACCTAACGGAGCCTCGATGAGTCGTTCCGAAAGACTGCTCCGTTTGTTCGTACGGCAGCCGCCATGCACGCGTAAAGTGGCGCGCCGCCACGCAGGGGTGGCAAGGTCCGACTACTACGTATATTGATCACTGACCTTTCCTGCGGCCGAATGGCCCGAAGAACGTGCCGTTCTTGCCGATGACGTTATCGTCGATGTACTTCAGCAACTTGGTCGTGTCCTCCCCTTTCTTCGCGGCGATCGACTTGACGGGGCGTGGTGGCACGACCCTCTGATTACCGCTAGCCGCAGAGACGTTGATACTCGTAGCGGTGGCGGCGGCGGCGGCGGCGGAGACGATGGCGATCGCAGGGTTGTTGAAGGCTACGGTGCTGGTGGTCGTGGTGGTAGTGGTGATGGTGTTCGTCGCGGTGGTAGTCGTCGAGCTCGGGGTCGATGCCGTGCTCGTTGTCGGCTGGTTGGCCTGCAGGCTGGCGCAGCAATTGGCAACGGCATTCGAAGGACACGTCGTCGTCGTTGTCGTCGTTGTCGTTGTCGTCGTCGTCGTCGTCGTCTCCTCCGCCAACGAGTTGATCCTGCGCTGTGAGCCGGCCCAGCTCTTGCCGCAAGAGATCTTCACCGAGCAGCTCATCCTCTCATAGTATCAGTCGCAGCAGATTGTTCATAGTAAAGTCGATATCACGCGATGCACCACGGTGCAGCGGTCACATGGGACACTTCCGGGTGGACACCCGGCTGGGAAGCCGTGGAGGGTCGCGCTCCGCGCGGCCACCTTACTCGGTGGTGGTGCGGTGGCGCATCCCTATGAAACGCACGGGGGAGTTCGATCGTGTCGACGACGGGCCGTCCGCTCGATCGCACGTGTCAGTCGCGGCTCCTGGCGGCTCGCGTTCGCGACACCGCGCCAACTTTCCCGAGCTGCTCTCGGACTGACGGAAAATCACTTCCCTCGCTCGGGGGAACTTTCTTCCTCCTCTGCTGGCGCTCGCTCGCTCGCTCGCGATTCCGCCAGCCTCAGCAGCACTGCTGCACTGTTGTTACCCCGCGGCTCCTCCGCGAGTTGTCCGCGCGCGTCGAGAGTCTTGCGTAAGGGTAAGGCTCTCTCGGGTGGCGGGTCGCGTTTAATCAGGTGAACGACCTGGCCCTGGCCGGTCTCGCGCGCGCTCTTCTTCCCCTGGCCGATCCTCCCGGGATTGGATTGCCTCGTCCACGAGAACGTGGACCGCTCGATTGTCGTGGATCGTAGAGCGAATGGCGGCGGCGAATCAGCTTCCGCGCTGGCTGATATGACAGTGGAGCGGTGTGTGCAGTAACACGCAATACAATCTCCTCGAGTGCCGAGGCGAGACTGAATGTCTGGTGGACGACGAGCTGCCCGGTTCACCAATGACGTCACCCGGCCACGCAGGCGCCTGAGAGTCTCGCCATGCTGCAGGCGCATCTTCTCTGGGACGAACGTGCGTTGTCGCGGGAGGTGGACTTTGCGGCGTAAATTGCGCGAGAACTCGCGAGACGACCTTTTATCGGGCCTCGGGTCTGTTTGTCAACGATAGCTTTTTTCTTCCTTTTTCGAGCGCGCGCTGCAAACGCGGCAAACGCTGCCGCGGCTGCTAAGCGGCGGAGGAGGAGGAGGCGGACGCGCGGTGGAGGAGGTGAAGGAGGTGGGTGGCCAGGCGCGGCCTGAGCGCTGATAACTCTCTCGTGAACCTGTGGGAGACCCCTCGGAGATGCACTCTCTAGCCGCGAATATGGCGATAGTTCGGAAATCGCGCGCAAAACCGACTACGACCACGTCCCGATAGCGTTCCAACGATCGATCGCATCGCGCGATTAGAATCGCAGCGCCGTGAAAACGGTGCGATGTCGCGCGATACGATTACGCACGAATGACTAATCGATATTTCTTATCCAAGTAAGTTTTCTCCTTTTTGTTCTCCTAAAAGCGCTCACGTGTCACATTCGAGATTAGAAGGAGAGAGAGAGAGAGAGAGAGAGAGAGAGAGAGGGAAAACGGGATGATGCGATTTAAACGCTCCCGTAATAGATTTTCCTTAATTGTAATTCGATCATCCTCGAGTCGTGCTTCTTTCGCTCTTCGCTCTTTGCCGAATGATTAGCTAATCAAAATAAAGATGATATCACTTGGTCGCGTTGTTTTTGTTATCGTTGAGCGAATAACGAATCGCGCTTCTGGTCTGGTTGAATCTCTTAATCTCGATCTCGCGGGTTATGCCCCGAGCGCGCGGCAGTCTTCTGCGAAATTCCGCGCTTTATCGCAGGAAGAGCGATTAACCCATTTAAAATATTTAATCGACACTTACTCCACTCCACGTCGTTCTCATTATCGTACGCAATGCCGTCGCAATAATACGACGGCGAATCGTACGCGCGCGCGCGCGCGCGCGCGTATGCGAGATACTTTCGCGAAATCGACAGATAATGATGCAGTGCGCATGTTTATGCTATCGACAGCTGCTGTCCACGTGACGCAGCCCCGATGAATGTCTCTTTAACAGCTGAATAATTAACGCGCGTTTTTCCGACGAATAGATTATCACGTGATCGCAGTCAAACGTCGGAGAAGCTCGCGCCAGCGCGCAAGATCGAAATCACCGTGTATCGATCATCAAAACCGTAATTAATTAATAATTACCGCGCGTAAAAGGCGGCTCGCGAGAAAGCCGTCGGTCTTCCGGAGAAGGAGAAGCGTCCGCGATTACGCCGTAGAAGGCTCCTTCGAGTACGAGATACGAAGATAAGGAAGTTGTCGCGACGCGCCGTCGTCGTATCACGTAAGCCTCGAAAACTCGCCGGCGTTCGTTCGAATTTCGTTCGGAACTATTATTACAGCGGCCAGATATCGATTAAATGATTACCGTCTCCCCCTTTCCCCACTGGGCTGGAGAGCCGCTATCTTATTGGAAAGCTTTCGCGGCGAACGCGCGCGCGCGCGTCTCTAAAATAGCCCTCTTTTATTAGACGAGCCGAGGTAATTTTTATAATTACAGGTTAACCCCGCCAACGTCAACGCCAATAAGATCGCATCGTGTGACGAGCGCGCAATTGATCGCGCCGTTTAAAGAGCCGCGAGGAGCAAGCAGAATCGCGAATTGACGTGCGTGCAGCTGAAACGAATCGCGAATGAGCCGCGCACGAACGAGCGGCGAATCCATCGCCGCTTACACGCGATCTCTCGTAGCCACGGGACGGGCAAACTCTCCATGGTAACGAATGTGGAGTGCGAGAGCTCCTCAGCAGATGCTCGATACTTGTCAGTCCCCCTCGTGTCTGGATATATATCCCCGCGTTGTTCGCCGCGTCGTGTACATAACCTTGCGCCGTCGCGATAACGGCAAGAGAGTCGCGTCTTCCGGTGAGGTCTTCTCGCGAGACGAGGTGCCGCCGCGCGATGCTGAAATTTCAACTCCACGCCACGCCGGAGGATCTGAAGATCGCCGCGTCCATAGAGCGCAAACGACGACTCGAGGAGGCGAGGAAGCAGCGCATCTTCGACCCTCGCGTCAGGAAGATCGGAGTGAGAATCGAATCCCGACCGCGCGACTCGCTTCTCCGATTCTCCGTCGCAATTTACATCTCGCGCGCACACTCGCCGTGCCGTTCGGCCTCGCTGTACCACCTGAAGCTAAGCCGTTCGAAGTTTAACTCGTGTAACGCGAAGGTTTACTCAGCTGCGGGTCTATCCGATATTCCTGACGAATCAACTGTCGCGCTCGTCACAATTTGTTTCCGCGAACGCGCTTCGTCGTCGCGCGAGACGCAAGCTTGAAATTCCCGTCCCGTCCGTCCCGTCGTTTAACGGAGCACGACTTACTGATCTAACATCTGGCAAGTTGGCCGCTTCAATACACGTAACGATTCACGCGATTGTTTCCCTGTGACAATTGTAGATAGACAAGGCATTCTTGGATAAGCAAGTCGAGGAAAAGAGGCGGCAGCGCGAGTGCGAACAGGCGGAAGAATGTCAATTGAACGAGGCGCTCGTCCACAGCAGCCAGCTCGCCGCGCATCTGGAGAGGCAGCGGGAGGAGGTAATCGTGTGCCGAGACGATAATTGCGCGCAGGAATGTCCGATGCGAATCGTCGCGATGCGCCGCGATGTGTTTGCGAGTGTTTTGGAGTCACGTGCCGCGCGTCGCCGCGCGACACCGTGACGAGGGCCTCCCATGTCAGGTCTCCATTGTCGCAGGAGAGGCGCAGAATACGCGAGGGGATCGAGTCGTTCCGACGAGAGCACCAGAGAGCCGAGGACCGGCGAGATTACGACCTGTACGACCCCGAAGCGTTGAAGAAATCGCTTCCACCGCGAGCGGACGACGATGACCCGAGCTTGGGACTAGCGTCTGCTCAGAAGTGCGTAAATAGTCCGATTCACATTGTCAACAGCGAGCGAGAGAGACAGAGAGAGAGAGAGAGAGAGAGAGAGCGATCGGCGGAGGAGAGCTGTTTATCTCCGAGAGCTTCCCGGCGAGATAGAAAAGAAGCAGGCGTGTGTGCGAAATGCATCGCACACTTCTTTCCTTGTACTCGCAGACCGCTCGTCTCTCGTCTCGGGGTTTTCCTTTTTCCTCCTCTTTTTTTTTTCCCCTCATTTTATCGCGACTCTCTTGATATTTGAAGGCTCACAGCGCGCGTGGGAACGCTCGCGTGTGTGCGGTCTCTCTGGTCCGCGATTACTATGCGCACAGCGTGTCTTCTCTTCCCGGTACTAACGTGCCTAACGTCGCAAAAAAAAAAAAAACGTCCTGGCGAGGATAATAATTTAAGCCGCAGCCTGCTCACCCTGGCGCAATGATAATGAGCGTAACATCGCGGCGCGGTGGTGAGCGGAGCGGTGAAATATTAACGGCTGCGTAGGTTCGAAGGCGAGGATCCGAATCTGCAGGAGCGGCTGAAGGCGCAGAAACGGCAGATGCGTTGGTGGATACGCAGGCAGAAGGAGGAACGCGAGGCGGTTGAGAAGGTGCAACGGGAGATCGAGGAAGCCTATCAGGAAGTCGTCCTCTCCAGGGACAAGCGCGCGGCAACGCTCGCGCGGATGGAGGAAGAGTGCCGGCGAAGGCTGAACGAAGCCACGGCGAAATTCAATTGCGCTCTGGTAGGGAGTACACGCCGCGTTTGCGCTTCTTATCGATAAGGATCGGAGGGGCAAGGATCGCGCAGGGAAGCGAAGAAGCACGACAACAGGAGCCCAGCGTGCCTCTAAACCGCTTTCCAACGAGGAGACCGAGAAATTTGACGATGCAATTTCACGCACGCGGAATCCGCGAAATTGCACACCGCGCGGACGGCAGATCGCGATCGGGATTAAGGTCGATATTAATTTGCCGTTGCTGCCGTATTCGGGACGTTGTCTCCTTCGGAGATCGCAAACGAGTTGCGTCTCCGACGCAACTGACCTTTCGGCGGTGTCGGCAAAGTAAAGATGAGTGCAAGCCGCTTAATTGCAGCTGCAAGTACAGAGAGAGAGAGAGAGAGAGAGAGAGAGAGAGAGAGAGAGAGAAGAGGAACTGTGCGACTTTTTTTACGCAGTTTACGCGCATCTCTCTCTCTCTCTCTCTCTCTCAATTCGCCGCAGGATACAAGAATCGCCTACACGATTGTCGCGGCCGATGAATAAACCGCGTGACATCATCGAGCAAAGTGCCGCGATAATTTGCTCCGATAACCGGCGACAAAGTGCCGGCGATTTTTCCTTCCTTCCGTCGCCGGGCTCTCGTAGCCGATATTAGCCTCTTGTCACTTCTCCCTTTTGCTCGTTCGCTCGTGTCCCTGGCCGTTTCTCTCCGTCTGAGCGCGACCCCGCCGCGCCGCAGCGCAGTTCGCGGAAGCGCGAATTTATCTCCGTTCGATTGCAGGCCACGGAACGACAGCAGCGTCGTCAATGCGAAGCCATTCAAGAGGAGGAGGACAACAAAGCGGAAATCTATAATCACGTGACTGGGGACTTCCTCACCGAGGCCAGGGAGCAGGCTGAGAGCACTCGCGGTCCGCAGAGACCGTTGGCATCACGGTACAAGGGCATGACTGAGGACGAGTTGAAGGTCTTCAGGGACGCTCAGTTGGAGCAGATGAAGGAGCTTGAGGTTAGCGCCAAGTCGAGAAAGAAACAATACTTGGCTCGCAAGGCCGACGACGGTGAGGCCGTGCGCGCGTTTCGTGCCTCGCGAGTGCGTCTCGCGTGGAAGTCGCGAAGCCGGTCCCTACGTTCTCGTCGAGAGAGCGACACGAAGAGAATAGCAACGAATGCGAGGGCGTCGCGTCGCGAGAATCTCGCGCCGCGACCACGCTTCGGGATTTTGCAAATCTGACGACACTTGCGCACTTGAGAGCTGGGCGCGTCATGTATGATGTCATAACGAATAGCGGATTCATGACGACGCGCATATTATTAGCGTAATTCAAGTACAACGACTGTTTCGCGGCGCGAGTGCGAGCGCGGTGCCTCGGTGCTTTTAATAAAACACATCCGAGGCACACATTCGTTGGCGCTTTCACACTCTCGCCGGTGTCCTTCGCCTGACGAACCTTTCTCCGAATTCTCCTCTTTTTACAGAGGATCAAGCAGGGTGAGAAACGCACGGACGAGGAGTGGGATCGTCTGATGACTTCGCACCTTCAAGTCGCGTACTCGCACGCACGTGAATTGGATCAGAGGAAATCGTAAGAATCGGCGATCTGGCGACTCGCGGCGCTGGCGAACGAATTTTCTCGTGTTCCAATATGAAATTTTCTTGTCGCAGGGAGCTCAACAAGAAGATCGCCGAGGAGAACTTGCAGTTGGCCGAGCGGCAAAAGTCGCATCAGGATTATCTGAACCGAGTTCTTTACAAGAACATGCCGACCGCCGATTTCTACGAGCAATTCAACAAAAGTACACGTTGAACAGTTGCAGCAATATGGACGGGCGTATCGCGGGACGTAAAAAAATCGCACAAGTCGGCCGAATGAGAAACCCGTGTGAATAAAGCGATCGTATTGGCAGGAAAGGGCCTTCGTTGGCCTACAATTTCCGGCGTCTCCGGAGTTTACAAGTTGCTCGAATTGTAATTATTACGTGATCGCTTAGCATCGATAAAATGCCGCGGTCCGTTTGTCGCGTTTGATATGGTACAATGAGCATCGCGCGATTTTACTTCCGGTCGATAACGTTGAACGTGCAGCACGCACCGCACAGTTACCATGCGCCGCTGAGGACGCAGCCAGCAGACGTTGGTAAGTTTCCACGACGACGGGCGAGTGCAGAAATCCGTCGTGAACTTCGGGGAAACCCTGGGGCGGCTTAATCAACGGCCGATTACCGATGACTAACCGCGCGGCGGTAGCTCTGCCTGCGGAATTTTCCTCCTTCGACTCCGCCGGCGTTCGATGTAAACGATGGTCGTAATTGCAGAAGAAGATTGCAGGTGTGAGATATCGGTATATATATATATATATATATATATTTCATCGTCTTATCGCGAATAGACATGGCGTACAATGTCTTGCCTTTATTCGATTGTCGAGTACAACTTAATATCACAGGCGCAGGCGTGTATTTATTTAAGTGATTACATATGTGGTATAAAATTGATCCGTTACGTATCCTAGAGTACTCGTATAATCGTACATCTTACGTGTATATCTATCTCGTTATACTTTCTCTCTCTCTCTCTCTCTCTCTCTCTCTCTCTCTCTCTCTCTCTCTCTCTCTCTCTCTCTCTCGCTGTCTCGTTGTGTAACTTTGAAGGATTGCGTAATCATATATTAATATCGTGGCCGCGCTGCTGTTTCTCTCTGTCATATTGAAGCTTGTGTTGATAAACTTATATCACAAACACGCTCACCTGATGTAATCATCGCGCAGCGGACAAAGTCAAAAATCAAGTCTTGCGCTAATAGCAACATTAAGTGCTCACCCGCCGGGTTTGGTCGGCAAAGGAAGCGGGAGAAACTTCCGAAAAGTCGGCCGACGAGAGATAGCAAAGCGGGACGGACCGGAGCGGCTATATTGCGTGTGATCGTTTGCGAAATCGTGCTTCCTCCACGCCTGCTGATTATCGCCGACTGACTTACTTATTGTCCGGCGGACGGAGGGCCATTGCCAGTACCTGTTGCATCTGTATCCTGACGTCCAGCTTCTTCTCCTCCGGCACTTGCCTGATTATCGGCAACAACGACAGCAGGAACATCTTGTCGTAGTCGTCCTCGTCAAGGGCGACGCGCTGGCTGCTGTGCGACGAGAGGATGTCGTGTATCTCGTTGTCCAAGGGTGCGAAGGACGTCTCGCAGAATTGCTTCGGGTAACGCGGGCACACCTTGTAGGACGCGGTGCTCGGCTGGAGGTACTCCCTGCTGCCGGTGATGGAAGCGCCGCTGTGCGCGAGCGGCATGTCGTACTCCTCGATCATGGGGTTGTCGACCTCGCCCTCGCTTTCCTCCGACTTGCAGGGAGTGATGGTCATTACGGAGCTCCTGAAAGAAGTACATGGCCGAAACGTGGCGCGGCGTTTTTAGTCGGCCGCGCGGCCGACCGACGATCTACCTTTTGTTCTCCACCGTCGGCATGAGGAACAACAAGCGGTCAAAGTACATGTACTTCTTGCGCTTCCGTCCGGCGGGACCGGTCTTCTGCGATCTCTGAAGCTTCAGCTCCTTCATGAAGTAGTCCCGTATGTTCCTCCACTTGCCGCGCAGATTCTTCTCTAAAAAAGACATCATCACACTCGCTGGTAGTCCGAATTGATTCGCGATAAACGGCGGACTCGTCGTAACGCGAAGCGATAAAACATTTCTCGGTCGAATTCACTCCGGATTCAGCGGGACAAGGTCGCGCCGAGACGGTCGATCGATGCCGCGCGTCTCTTTGCAATTTTTGCACATGTGCGAAACGACGGTATGTGTGTGCAGGAAGCTTATCTCGGTGCGATTTCGCCGTGTCTTGAATCTTGAATGCGTCGTCTTGCGCGCAATTACGAAGCCGCCCGGTCCGAATCGATCCGGTGTCGCGATGGAAAAAATATCGATTCGCGCCGACACTAAATTTCCGGACTTCCGGCCGCAACGTTTGGCGGCAACGCGGCCGGAGGAATCCGGATCGATCAATCGCGGCGGCGGCAGTGGCGGCGGCGGCAGCGGCAGCGGCGGCGATGTGCTGTATATACCTTCCACGTTTCTCTCCTCGTCCGTCAAGCGCGCCCAATTCGGTACCATCACCTGGCAGACCTCGTCCCACGCGGTCATCTTGGCGTTACGGTCGTTGTACTCGCCGCGATTCACGTCGTAGATCGCCGGCCGCCTCTCTATCTCCTCGATGAACCTTTCCGTGTCGAACATGCTCATAAAGTCTCCACAAAGGGTTTTCCGACTTCCGTCGCTCGGCCTTCCTCTCGGCCGATCTTCCACCCAGCCGACTCGAACAGCGCACCTCTCGCACCCGATCAAGCGATCCGGGATTATCTTTGGGATTTGTTCGCGATTGACGGGAATCCCTTCGGATGGATTATCGAGAGGGTTTTAAATGAGTCGAAACGAGCGGCGGCGGAGAGAGAGAGAGAGAGAGAGGGAGAGAGAGAGAGAGAGAGAAACACTCCTCCGAGTGAGTTGAAGCGCGTAGAAGAATTCCCGTTGGCGGAGCACGTGGAGGTCGATCGCGACTCTCGTCGCGCGGTTCTTAAAATTCACGAACAAATCCTCCAGCAAGCGCCAGGCCACGGTGTCGGTCGGTCTCCGGGTGCGAGTGCACGTGAAAAAGCGCTACGGATTGGCAATGGAACATCCGCAGGCGGCCAGCAGCTTGCGTCCAGACCTCCGTCACGTTGCGTCGCGTCGTCGGCAGCGGCTTGCGCGTCACTGCGGAGAAACCGTTGTACGGCCAGCACGGCTTTGGTATCATGGCGGCTCGGCAAACGTGCGGTTGCGGTTGCGGAGCGGAATCTATGCCGCCTGCGACGTTGCCAGACCAACGCGCGAGCGGTCGCGGCGGCTCGGCGCGGCGCGGCGCGGCGCGGCGCGACGCGGCGCGGCACGGCGCGGCGCGGCGGGCCGAAAGACGACGGCGGAATCGCGTCGCCGCGCCGCGCAATACCAGATCAGACACGTAGACACCGCGCGCAGAAATGCGCGCGGCGGATTCGGCTGCTGGAGTCACTGATTGAATATCTGAACTTTTCTCATGGGAACTCGCGTGTCGACCGAGCGAATCCGACCGGCTGATCTCTCGCCTCGCGTTTAATGCCTCGTTGTTGCTGTTGTTGCTGTTTCTTGCTTCGCTTGTTAACTGGACGCGTTGCTGCGTTTCAGAGACGTAAGAGTCCCCAAGTAAAGTCGACACTTGCGACGTACGTATTAATATATACAAATATATATATATATATATATATATATATATATATATACAGATATATCGATGTGGAAACTTCACGCATCCGGAGTGACGTGTTAATCGTTGGAAGTAGGAAACGCGCGATATCAAATTACACTCGAGTCCTGATAGGTCGTTGCAGTAAAGCGACAGTAAGGCTGCAGGTAGAAAAATGTATCCCGCGAGCCCGGACGAAAACCGAGGAGTCTCGACTCCGGCTGAGCCTAGTTGGAAACCGGTAATCTCGGATGTATTATTGCTCGCACACGCGTGAATTAGCATCGATCACCGAAACACGCGCGCACGTGCGTGTGTCTATGTGTATTTCGCTTAACCGAGTTTCGTGATATTCTTCGCGCCGGACGATTCTGTCGTTTTTTTCTTTTTTCTTCTTTCCTTGTTATCGCGAGAAAGCGGGCAGGAAGCTGCCCGATCCGTATCTCGGAGATAACGTCGCCGATACATCAGTTTCTTCGCGCAGGAGGAGAGATACACCCTCCACCGATGAGTGCGGAATTCGCGCCGCCGCGACGTTGCCAAGCCTTCGTCGTGGGTGTCGGAATTCACGTGTTGCTACGCGACATCGTCACGTGCACAATGGGTGTGTGTGCGTGAGCACGGCAACGTCGACGCGTTTCCACCGCACCGTTATCGACCGTGGCAGGCGTTGCGGATCGCGGCGAAATCGACGCTACCGGGATCAGACGTGGAATTGTCGCGCGCTAACCGTACGTTATTATTCCCTCTTGACGCACGCCCGGGAGAGACGGTGTCGAAAAGTGTCGCAAGGATTAACCTTTAGACTTTAGCGTTCACTTCGCTACCTGACTCTCAAAAAGCCTCCACCTATATCCAGCCGAACTGAATATTTTAGATAGACAACGAAGCGAAGCGTACGCTTTGACGCGCGCAGCGTGCGCGGCAGAGAGGGAGACAAGGTGTGTGCGCGTGTGAAACAAGGGAGCAATAATTTATCCATAAATATGTAAACAGCGCGTGAGTAGCGCGCGCAAAGAGGCGCAGGAGAGTCCAATTAATCGACTATCGACTCGCCAGACGCGAAAGTCGCGACAAAGAAGACTCGTGCAAACTAATCGAAATCTGAATGGCGGCGCGTGACACCCGCGTCGCGGGGCTCTGAACGCAATTACAAAGGGATTTAAAAGGGTCTCTCTCTCTCTCTCTCTCTCTCTCTCTCTCTCTCTGCCAAGTGCCATTAACCATTTATTCGAACGTAGGAACGATTCGTCGCGGAGTCGTACGCGCGCGCGCTGATCCACCAACCAATGAGGACTCGGCACTCACATGGTCCGATATGCAGCACGCATCACGCATGACAGGTTCGAAAGTCTACAGTTCGAACGCGTCGCTGTTCTTGAACTTCGTCGTCGGCCACGTTGCGGCGGCATCGGCAACGACAAAGTTGCGAGGAGCGTTGCGCCTCGCGGCTTGATATTCGAACATGTAAATCGCTATAATTATGCATCCATAATGCTCGCGCTGGGTGCTGGCTATTGCGTAACGCAGATGTATATACGTTTCTTATATCACACAATGATGATAATCGTAATGACCGCACATTGCTGATTCATGCCCCGACATTATCTCGGTGGCTAAAATAAAACAGATTCGAGTGGCGTGTTATTGCGTGCTTTGGCACATGTTATTGTCTGTCGGAAATATCGCCGCTCGCGCGCTCAAGCGAGACGGGTGCGTTTGCACGGGAGGATTTTGGCGATTGTTTGGCGTGTAAGGCGAACGGATCTCGTATCCGTCGCGTTGCGGAAAAAGTCGCACGACGGATACGAGTTCGCCAAGTGATTAATGCAACCGATACTTTATAACGATCACTTCGTCACGGCCGATCTGTCGCGTTAATTGCACAACTTGCCCGGCTGACTCGAGCGACGAGTATTCGTCGACGCGTCCGCCGACTCGTTCTCCGTCTCAACCACAAGTTTCTCTCTTGCCCTTTTACTCTCTTTTTTTTTTATGCACGTCTCGCACAAGAAGAAATGAATGAGAAATGATTTGTGCAGTGCGCGAAGAAAAAGAGGCTAATTGCGCGAGCAGGATGCAGCGATGTATAAGACACCGCCGATGCGTCGCGCCTTCGCAGCTGCGAATAGACTTCGAGGTGGTGGGGAACCCCCGAAGCATCCGGGTGGGTAGCGAGGTAGGGAAATTTCGAAGGCTGGTAGAAGGGCGGAAGGGTCGAAAAGGGAACGAGCGAGCGAGCGAGCGAGCGAGCGAAGAGGAAGAGAGAAGGAGAACCGGAATCGAAGAACCGACGGAGACGGAGTGGGTTCGCAACGGACGCTTCGAAATAGGGAGGCTTTGGCAGGGACGAGAGGGGGCAAGGAGGAAAGAGAGGGAGCACGACCCCGGCACCGAAGGCGGAACAAGCGAGTGACGAGTGTGTGGGAGGGACGAGGAGAGAAGGATAGATGGAGTGAGAGAGGAGAGAGGGAGAGAAAGAAAGAGAGAGAGAGAGAGAGAGAGAGAGAGAGCTGTGTGTTGAGTTGAGTGAGAGATAAAGTTTTCGTGCCACCGACGTTCCTCATCCTGGACTGGTCTAGTCCTGCCTGCTCAGTTCCGCGCCGATCGACCAGGAGTTGGTACCTAGTCCCGTCCCGGCTGTATCGATTAATTCGCCGGCTACACTTGTCTCGTTCTGCACGTGTGTTACCAAATAATTCTCCAGCTCTCTCTCTCTCTCTCTCTGTCTCTCTTTCTACTTCGGCCGATCATCATGTCCGGTGCAGAGTTCCTTGGCAAGCGCTACAAGCTCTTCAGCAGCGAGAACTTCGATGACTTCATGAAAGCGCTCGGTAAGTATGCGCATAATCGAACGCACGCGGCCTTTGGCATCGTTTCGACCGTCGAAGCTGCAAAGTGCAGCTGCGTAACGTGTGTCCACGTCGACACGACTCTGATGCGAAAAACGGAATGAGGAAGGGCGGGAAGTAACGTATTTTTCCTTCGTCTCTCTTATCGCGGCGATTCGAAGAATAGCGATAAAAGGCGATTCTGAAAAGCTGATTCTTCTTCGTACCGAGCGTGATAGGCGGAAATCGAGTGTACCTAAACAGTCCTGTGTGCACAGTGTGTGTGTGTGTGTGTGTGTGTGTATATGTGTGTGTGTGTGTGTGTGTGTGTGTGTGTACAAACAATATACGCCTTGGATATCGTGAGCTATGTAGATAAATGCGTTTATTACGTCGGATAAGGAGAAGATAACCAAAGAGTCATGGAAAACCTTAGACTGATACAGCGAGTGATAACTCAATCCGTAAATACAGAAGAAAAAGTTATTTTTGTAGATGATTCATCAGTTATCGCTGAACTTTTACGGTGTTTGTAAAAATACCGGACAAGTGTGTATGCGCGTTACGAGAGAGAGAGAGAGAGAGAGAGAGAGAGAGAGAGAGAGAGAGAGAGAGAGAGAGAGAGAGAGAAAGAGAGAGATAAGCTATACTATTACCGTAATAAGATCCGACATTAACATACGCTATATACGCTCGCACAAATAGACACATCACGGTTTTGCGACACACATATCACGTGTAAGATATTGTGAAGATGTGAAAGTTGCGAGACAAATATCAAACATCAAAGGACCTCTGACGAGAAAGACATTTGTAAATAACACCTTGCCTATATACACAGAATTCACCGAGAGGCCACGAGCATGAATTCTAATTAAGGCTCGCTTTAGACAAGTCACGATTTATGACGAAACTCTATTTGTAAGATAAAAGAGGACTAGAGTTGTGAAGAAAATTTAAATCTCCAATTCTGTGGTAAATTATAAGATTAATCTACGCGGTAGAGTTCTCTCTCAAATCTTTTGAGAGAGAGAGAGAGAAAGTTGCAACATGTAATCTGGAATATTGCTATTTTAACTCTCGACAGTCTATTTACCGAAAGTATACAAATGTTGATTAACGCAATCGAACTCGCAACTTCCGTCTTTACGGCGCTTATCATAAGCTTAATCATTTAATTAGCCGCTAAATTCGCCCGCATTAGCAAGATATCAATAAAGACGGGGAAGGTAATCAATTTTAATACGTTGAATTACGCCCTCATCTTCGTGCAACGACCTGACCTCGATCTTAATTCCAACCGTGTGCCGCAGACAGTCTGATTGTGGTCCAATTTAACACTTGAATTAATTCATCAACGAGATTAATAAATCGCAATTGTCAGTCGAATCACGCAAACGCGCGGCCGACTTATATGCATTTCTTTCCTTCTCCCTTCTTTATGTTTTTTTTTTTGTTTTTCCATCGAGCGAAGATATTCGTTTCGTCGATAGTGTCTGCTTCTCGAGAGAGAGAGAGAGAGGTGCGTCGATTTTTTGTGCGTCGGGCGATTCGCGAGTGCACGAAATGTTCTTTACGGAACTGTTGTTCAATAACTATGAACATTCCCACATCCTCGGCCGACGGTAATCTTCGAGAGTTGTTCACCGGAAATTGAATAAGCGAGAGCATATAATATGTCTAGACGCACCGTCTCCGATAATACATACATATAATAGCGTCGCTGTGTGCGTGATGTCATAAAATATCGCGGAAATTGACGTACCGCCTTTTTCTCAGAGCTCAGAGTCGGCTGATAAAAGCGACGATAAAAATCGAGTCCCGATGATATTTCAGCCGGCGTCGAGATAAACCTTCCACGATCGAAGATCGTTACATAACGAAAACGAGTTAAGACCAATAATGTAATGTTGCCGCAGTCATGTTCCACCATACTTCGAGACCGTGAAATATTCAACAACTCGCTGCAGCAGACGACAAAAAGTAGCGCGTGTAAGTCGTCTTTGTTGGTTTTACGATAAGCAACCGTGAGAGACAAAACACGCTAGCTGCGTGTGAAGGGGAAGCGTCTCTCATATATGCAGAGGCGCGAGATAAGAGGAGACCGATCGCGACATGATTTCGAGAAAATATTCGTCGCTATAAATTGCCGCGTACGCTTCAATCCGGAGATCCGTGCCAAGCACGCAGGCAGGCTCATACGTGACAAAATCGCGATATATACTCATATGATGCGAGATGATGCCATTTTGAGCGATAAACCAAGAGGGACACACATTCGTATGCATCTATAAATACGCGCGGTGCGTTCTGTAATGCGCGTTCTGTAAGTCAAACTTTCAAGTTTATGTTTCGCCTCGAATTTTAACGACACCGATGCGATACGAGTCCTCCGCTTATGCGATAACCGAGCTACCTCAAGTTGTTGAGCCTAATCAATTATGGAAGCGCGCATAAAGCACGCTCGCCGGCTGCGCCGTTGGCCAGTCTTGTCCTCGCAGGCGCCAGCGATACATCGAATCGAACGTTCGGAATGTCGTCAGAAATGCTGACCGGTATCTTGGGCAAACGTTACAAGCTCCATTCGAGCGATAAGTTCGACGAGTACATGAAAAGTCTAGGTGAGAACCGCGGTGTTGCTGCGAGTACGAGGTATTACTTATCTAGCGAGCCTTTCCACGTGACACGCGTGGAAGGCGACCCTGAAATCGAGAATTCTACGAGTGCAATTTTGTAGTAATAGCAAAGTATCTCGATCGCGCATAATTGGGGTGTTGATGAGGAGGAGGAGGATGCCGTTGGAATCGTGCAGGACTTTACAGCGATTTCTACCGACTTTTTCAGGAGTGGGTCTGATGACGCGTAAAATGGGCAGCAGTGTCAGCCCCGTGATCGAGATGACGGAGAAAGACGGGACGTACACCCTGAAGACGACCAGTCCCTTCAAAAGCACCGAGATCAAGTTCAAGCTCGGCGAGGAGTTCGACGAGGAGACCGCGGACGGCAGGAAAGTGAAGAGCGTGTGCACCCTGGAGAATAACAAACTTATACAGGTGCAGAAGGGTGACAAGGATACCACGATCGAGAGGGAATTCACGCCCACGGAGATAAAAGCGGTAGGCATACATCCCCCCCCCCCCGGACAAAATTCGTGCGGCTGAGTGTTGAGAGCGCGTCACGCTGAAAATGGCATCGAGCCTCAATTAATCCCGGTTAAGTATAGCGACATGACGGCAAGTCACGCTAGTTGCGAGAGAATCAAAATTCAAAATTACCGAGTCAGTGATATGTCCGGTATTCTTATTGGCGAATCAGTGCGAGAGAGCTCATCGATTGAGAACTGCACAGCCGCGCGAGGACTTTTATTAGTCACTCTATTCCGCGTTATACCAATTATAAATCGCAGATATTGCACGCTCTCTCGCTTCTTGTTCCATCAAGATAGCAGAGGCAACGCTGAACTTTGGCCGGTGAGTTAATATGTATGAAATATCTATTTCGCAAGTTCCCACTTCTCTCCTGCTAAAGTCTAAAGTTCGCGACTTCGATTGTGAACTGCTTCGGTCGCTTCCGTCGAAAAGCGTACAACGGTGCGGTGCAGTAATTGTCACATCATTTTACATTTTACTCGGCGTAACTTGCCTGCCCGGCTTCTTCCTGTATAAAATGTCTCAACCCGTAACGAGAGTAACACGAGTAACATAAAAAACGAAGGCTCGTTATGTGAGATACATGTGAGATTCGAAGCATTTCGTTAATCGACGCGATGACGTGGGTCGGTCGCGCTGAAGAAAATACACTTATCGTCCGGCGCACTTTAGGCGTCTTTCTTCCTTCCTTTCTTTTTATCTCAGCGTGCACTCGGAATATCTCGAGTCGAGTCATATCGCGCTCGCGCTCGCGCGGGAATTACCGATTAAAGCACAAAAGTGCTACGTGCAGGAACGTTACGCCGCGACGAGAGAGATAGATCGTTGCACGAGCCCGGCTAATGTCATAATGATTCGTCAAATGTCCGGCCAATTATCGCGTGCGTTCCTCTCCTGTTCGTGACACGTACAATTCCACGGGTCCAAAACGGTGCCAATGAAGATCTATTGATCCGTCTGGCGGTGCACGGCGGTTAACACGCCGGCCGGGTGTTAATGCCGTGAGACAGCGGCGCACGAATAATTCTCGCACTTGCGCGTCCAGAAATTACCGTCATTGCGCGAAACTGCGACAACGCGACCGCCACGGCGACTGTGAGACTATTGACCGTCGCGCGTTTATTTGTGTTACAGATCATGAAGGTTGACGACATAGTCTGCACGAGGGTATACAAGGTTCAGGAATAAAGAGGTGTCTCTGTGACTGATGGCCGAAGACGCGCACAACCGCGTACGTGCTTTTTAAGAGCGCTCTACGAAAGAACGTGTCAATCGATGTTTAAAATCTTGTCTCTCGCGAGCACGCGAACGCCAGGAGGACGGGGAATGTCAAACGATGTTTGTCAGCGCCGGACCACCTGCGTGTCGGATTAATTACTCACAGACACATACGTGGTCGTGAGGATGTGATCAATCACAAATTACACGAAACAAATTGCGAACGTTGCACGTTTTTCTGTAAAGTTGAAAGTTCTACGTTTTTCGATATGTACGCTTTTCTTGTAAAGGGGAGGTCGCGAACCACGATGAATGAGTCATCGTATGAACAGATCAGTCGCTCGAGAGTCATGCACATTCTTTTCTTTTCCGACGAGTTTTCGTATTGCGCGTTATATAGTAAAAATATATAATATCGTCGATCGGTGAGTTCTGTTTCATCCGTAGCGGTAACTGTGTTACCCCATTAATTGTACGATTAATATTTGTCATATGAGTTATTTTTACGAATAAAGATTGCAGAAATATACACAACATTTTCATCACATCTTTTGATTCGTTCATCTCTTGCCTCTCTTTCGGGAAGTGAACCGAAATGTCTGGAGGATCGAAGAGAAAGAAAAAAGAATAGAGAAAACGTACGCGTGAGAAACGTACAAGATATATTTTACTGTTTGTTTTCATTTATACAACTTTGCATTGTAAGTAAACGCTTAAATAAGCTCGAACGTTCAAGGAGATGTGTGGCTTTATCATTGGCATCAACACGCCACTTCTCTGCCACTTAATCGTCTATACCTATTAGCGAAGATATCTGTAAATAAAATTTAAACTTTTTAGGCAACGCGCGTGCCAGATACGACGGCGAAACAATGCTATAACGCGATCAATGTTATAACGATTAACATCCTCTCCGTATATGGATATCAGTGTGTTACGACGTTGATGCGACACGGAATTTGTTATCGGACCACTCGTACACTTTGTTATGCAAAGCCTTACGTAATATTCGATGTAACAGGTGTGCCCGTCTTCGGTTTTGATCATGTATTGGAAGCACAATATCCCGGTGGTGTCGGTTCTCAAAGAAACTTTGTTGGCGCACGACAACGCACGCATTGCCGGCTTGATATGCGTTAATTTGAAACTGGACGTCGTCGTCGACGTACACTGAAAAGTGTCCACTAGATCGCTATCGTGCGGCAAGTCAATGTGGCAAATGCCGCCTAGACCGTCCGTGCTGATACGAAAATACGGTTTCTCCGGCGATAAGCACAACTAAAACGCAAACGATGTATTTTTCAAGGTTCGATAACGCCGATCAGTGATATAGATCTTCGGAGAATTACAACGGGAATCCGCGCAGCAAATTCCGCCTCTTTCTCTCGAAATATCGACTAACGATACAATCTACTATTGCCTGTAAATCACATTTATACCTCGACTAAATCACTAGTTGGGTCTAACTCTGCTATTATATCCTTCAGCAATTCCGTTTGCAACACTACTTTGTTCACTACATTTTTTGCCTCGAGATGAAAGTCTAACAATGCGTCTACTTCCAGAGTCTTTAAAGAGCAGTCTGTTATGACACCGTCTTCTTCAATAATAACGCTTAGAGGATAGCCTGTGCCCTATAAATGAATTGCGACAATATTTATTCTTCTACCTTTCAGATTACTCGTTTCAATATTTAAAGAGATGCACGCGATTTACTTTGTAAAATATCTGCACAGTGACCGAATCCTCTTGTGAACTGGGCCAGAACATACAAAGGCATTCTACCAATATGTTTAAACTTATCGCAAACGTAACATCGTTCTTTAAATTAAATTCGTGAAAAATTATGGACGGGATATACGCGCTAGCCTGCATACATTTTGCATCTTCGACTGTAATCTTCAATCCATTTTCACTACCGAGGCAAGTAGCTGTCTGCATAATAAATATTTCTCCCATATTAAATTAATAAAAAAAAAAGGAAGAAAAACAATACGACTGGAAATGTATTTCAAATACCTCTTTAAAAGTGATAGCTCTTAATAACTGTATTACAGTCTTTAAATTTGTCAATCCCATTTTCGCGACTAGCATGTAGTCTTCGATATTAGACTGCATCATGTTTGCATGAAACCTGGTATAACAATAAACTGTCAAATTGTTTTTGCGTTAGTTGCTGGTGTGCCAGTTTCTCATTATCAATGCTGGCTAGCCAAGCTGCCAACACATGTTTACAAGTAAAAGCAGATCGATCTTTCAGTACTTGATACCTATAATGTTACAAGAACCACACAAGAATGTTCTATGAAGAATGTATAAACATTTACTTTGATAAATAAAATTTTGTAAACATGTTATTTCCAAGGTAAAAAGTTTATACATATGTATGCACCTGAAGGAATCACAAGTACAATAATTTATTTCAGGAAAAAGAGTGTAGAATGCTCCAGAATGTCCTTTAACCTGTATCAACCAACTGGCTTCATCTGTACTCTTGCATGGCTCTGTTATAATTGTTTTAGATGTGGAGATTTGTGTTACTCGTCGCTTTTCATATAAATCTAAGCCTCTCTCGAAAGCTCCATCAAATAGCTTGTATAGTTTCAGTAGATTTGAGTCTGAAACTAAAAATTTTATTGCCATCCCATAAAAATAATACAGATTTTTCAGAAGTTAATAATTATCATTCACATTTTCACAGATATGAAAGTTTTTAAGATTAAAATGGAAAAATACGGGGAAATGAAGGAAAATATATGACTGATTAAATTGATTAATCTTTGCAAAAATTGTTTTCTACACTTAAATTTACAACAAACAAGCTCGTACTATTCATGGGATGACTTAGTATGCTTTTTCTCTAATGTAAAGTCATACCAAAAAGATTTAGTCTCCAAGAGATTGAGCAATGATTGGTACATGACAAAATACGTACATTTTTTTTCTCTCTCAAAGTCGTCAGCCGATTCTTTCAAAAACTTATCCACGAAATTTGTATACTTTTCATCGTATACAGTAGATGAAATGACGTTTGCTACTTGTTGATCCAAACTCATCGAAACGTATAACAGTTATAAATCTATACTTAAATCCTCAATGTCCTCTGAATAAAAGCGTTCTTTTCATCACATAGTGTTTCATTCATCGAACACCAAGTGGAACGAACAGTTTTAACAGATTTGAAAATAAGTTAGGATCTTTAAACGTGACGGTTGTTTTCAGAGTTTGCTATAAAATAATGGTACTATTCAGTAGTGTCAGTCTTACGAAAAATACGCTGAATCTTGGAAATATTTGCTTCCTAGAGACAGAGATGTCACTACTTAGAGCCTTTAGAGAATAATTTCATGAGAGGAGAGCTTGAGAGCATTATTTGATTTTCAGCATTATTTGATACGCCACCTGTGGTGCGATTCTTTAATTCGTTATTGGAGTTAACGAAAGTGTCGTTAGCTCCAATAACGAGTTACAGAATCGCATCACTGCACCCAGTTTTGAGCTGGAACAACGTTCACTACATCCATTTTCAAGTGTAGTCGGTAAAATCTCTGGTTAATGCATGCTGCGTTACGCTCATTTTTTGACGGTTCATGCCCATACATGGCATATCAAACAGTGCTGAAAATCAATGTCGGCCAAAACGCCGGTATGATCGCTCTTAGGCTTCTCTTTGGTGTCACATACGTAATATGTAATTCTTTCATAATTTTCTTCTCTTTTCACATGTTTCTTCCTCAAGTATCTAAGAAGTAGGATTGGACAATATTAAAGAAAATAGTTCTAAAAGATCCAAAAAATCGAGTAAAAAATATATTAACTTTTATAATCGATAAAATTTAAAAATTATCGACAATCAATTTAAATTGTTTTGCGAACTTTATCTACTAATGGTAAACTTCTTTTAACCAATTTGTATATAAAACTAAAATATCACAGCTGTGTCTTTTGTATTGTAAATAAATATATCATATCGAGAAAAATATCATAAGATAATCGATTTTGTAAAATAAAAATAATAGATGTCAAAATAGTATATATAAAATCCCTATTCGTAGGAGCTTTGTTCTGAATGTAGCTATTCTAGCTAGGTTGGTGCACCTGATAATTCGAAACAGGTATGGTGTAATTCAGCTTAATCCGTTACGAGTCGTGTCGTATTTTTGTGGTGTTGTTGAAAGGTCTGATATAAGTTATTTTTCTTTGCAATCAGAATTGTAACATACGACCTGGTCCTTCCGAAATAATTTAGTATGAGTAATCGACGAAGACATGCCGATGATTTCACGGACTCCCTTCGCAGTTATCGTAAGTACAACAACGTCTCATCTACTAATGTTTAACAATGCCATTTTTACAAAAACCTAAATGAAATTTATTATTGGATGAATATATTTATTTATAGGTGAAACGATCAACGAGCTACACAGTCAGACAGGACCTCAAATATACTCAGAAGATAGTTTAGATACTGATTCTGTAAGGAACAGACAATATGAAAATGATGATGAACACAGTTGCCCAAACAATGGCACTGAATGTCACGATGGTTCAATTATTCTAGCAAGTAATTTAACCAATGAGCAAGATGTTTTGATCCCTAGTACATATCACACTGCTGAAGAGAGTCGTGATACTGCACACAGCGATATGCAGTTTAATGTACCAGATGAAACATCTTACATGTCAATTAAACTTGACTTAAATAAGTGCATAAATTTATTTCATAACGAACATCTGAAAAAGGGACACGAGACTTCTGAGGAATATTCAAATATTTCTACAACTGCTTCATCTGAGACAAAAGCCAAAGAAGTTGGCGCTTGTCATTCAAGTGCAGGTAAGACCTGGGAGATACAATATTATTTAAATGATATACACTCACTAACTACGTTGTCAAATTCATTAAAAGACACGGCAGTACCAAAAGAAAATATTAGAAGATCCAAGAGCTGCACCATGCTCTGTAGTAATTCAAAGAGAGACACAAATCACAATATTAAAGTTAATCAGTTCTGTTTAGCATCCACAGAGACTACAGCTAAAACTACTAGCCATGAGAAGGTTGAAACGAGTCCATTAGTCAATGTATTATCATCATCGGAATCTTTTGTCTCATCGAGCAAAAAGGATGGTCCACAATCTAAGGAGGAAAGTCAGAAGTACGATTCAACAAGTGGTAGCAGTACAATAGACGACGTCGATGTTTGTGAATTGAAAACACTTCTACACTCACTACAGAATCAACAAAAACCATCGAAAGAGGTGCCTATCCCAGAGCATACGATAAGACGTCTGTCCACAATGTTTTATGTTTCGCCGAATGACTTCACTGAGAGATTATTGACAATAATTGAAGAATCGGTCGTAACTAACGATTCCGACATGCGAGAATTTCCAGATGTTAGTCTGTGTCGCTTAACCGCAGAGCTTCGAAAAATGTGCAAATTCATAGATAACGAAACTGTGCCTGAATGGCCCGCTTCGCCAGGCATGTCGACATCGATTTGTCTGGGAGGAGATGTACAACCGAAACCTGACTCTTCGCGGAGATCATTGGGTACTTTTTCGAGTCCTAGCAAAGGCCTGTATACTACACCCATCGTTTCCACCACCAGCCGATATAGTAGAAGTCCCAAGAAGATTTTCCGACGTATTCCAAAGACCATCTCTGCCGCGCTAGACAATACACAGAGCCCAATGTATGAGAGTACAGACGCGCACAATAGCACGAGCACATTTGAATGTTTGGAAGCCTATTGTAAGAAATGGTTTTCGAACGAGTGCAGGCCATCACCGTTGCAGAAGAATTGTTTACAGTCACCCCTGCAGAACATGAGCAGTATCTTACACGCGTGCGACGTTCAGATGAAATCTCTGGAAGATTCGTGCACCAATCGCGAGCTAGTTCAGAACGTCGCAACATCCATTGCTGCTGATACAGCGAGTCAACACAACAACATGGTACCTGATACAGAAGAACACGAGCTCATGATTCTTACGCCCGATAAACGTGAGAAAAGTCTGTCAAAAGACATGTTACCCAAGCTGCGTATAGGCCGCAGTACCTATTGCGAGAAAATCGATCCGGACGATCTGGAGAAAACGCTCATATATGAAATAGCGAAAAAGAGACAGAGGTGCCTCGACACGGCAAAAGTAATAATGGAGATCGATGGGAATTCGGAAGTGTTGGGAGCGCAAGGAACATGCCGAGTTAGCAGCGTCAATGAGACGAGGCTATCGACGGACAAAGATGCCAAATTGATGGAGACGCTGATGTCCTGTAAGAAATACCAAGAGTATCTGAAGGAGCACAAACCTTTGCTCAATTTGCTGCAACGATCAGAATTGTACAAGTCTCGTCTTGCGCAACAGAAAACAAATGTCCACACAAAGAAAGCTGACAGAGTCAACGTTGCGAGATTGGCGGTGCCGAAAACCCCGATGACTAAGAAAGGAAGAAAGAGCAGAAGTCCTTCGCCTAAAACAGTCGGCGTTCCGAAGCCAAGGCTATTCATAACTCCCGGGAAAACTCCCGGGAAAACTCCCGTCAATAAGACTGCGTGCAAGGAGAAGCGCACGTATTTCCACAACCTGGGAGTTAATTCGAATAAGAAAGAGAAACTGAAGAAGAGCTCAAACAAGGAATCTAACATCAGTCCATGTACGCAAAGTATTTGTCGCAAAATGGGACTAAATTACGACAGCGTGATATCGCCGGTTGGTATGTACATCAAAGGCACGAATCCTCATCTGATAAAAAATTTACGCCCTAAGACGGACGAGATGTTGTTGACACCAACGAAAAAGCAACCTATGCCGTCCGCTAACACAAAGCCAAAAATGAAGTTTCGACTATCACCGAACAAGTCCAAAAAAGTAAACTATTTTAATTCATGCGATGTTGATAAATGTACAAGTGTAATTTATAAGATTCCTTACGATGCATTTTTGATTATTTCAGACACAGCTCATTAGCACAGCAGTTGGAGATGAAAATATTCCCGATAATTTTCTACATCCGAAAGTGCATTATAAACTGCCATCACATATACGCACGGTATGTGTACGCCGGAGAATTTTAATTTGCAAAGATTCACACATAATAAGTTACTAATAAGAGAATTTTCTATAGATAAAGGAAACGGAAAATCGAAAAGTGGGTAATCGCATAAACGAATTATTGCGCTCCACTCAAGATAAGGTTGTGATTCGACACGAAGGTAACGCTTCTGCAATTGCAATTGTAAATCAATTATTTCGGAAAATATATTTGTGATAGATACACGAGGGATTAATTTTTGCGTCATCTTATTTCAGGTCGAACGAAAACGGTTCAAACGGACTGCACGGAGCAACCTGAGATTCACTACGACTCCGCGGAAGAATCCGTCCATATCGAGCAGACAGCCCGTAAAACGCACTTTTCTCGAGTACAAAAGGGTTATTAAATGATACCGAAATATTTGTTGAACGTCACTGATGTATTATAAAAGAAAACTTAATTTCTCTAATGCACGTTAATCTATGTTTTTTTTTTTATCAGAGCTGAATCACATTTTTTTCTATATGTAAGATTGTTGTTTTATTAAATGTGCAATTTTATAATTACTCTCAAGTCACCGATTATTTCATGCTTTTATATCGTAAAGTCGCGCACCGTATTTTATCACGTGCTATTCTGTTTCACAGAATTGAACAGCCTCTCTCTAGAGAATCTAGTCGTAATCGTAACGGACAATTCGATTTCCTTCTTCCGCGATATCACCGGATATAAGTGTTATGTTCTTCAAACAAAGCTAGTTTGCCGGAGGATGTAAAACAAATAGTATTCGAGATATTGTCGTGCGTATCATTAGATAACAGAGTGATTAAAAGAAAAGAAAGAAACTACGAAATAGGAGCAAGGAGAAAAGGTGCTTTTCAACGTTCTTCGAATCTTGAGAAGAGAGCGGTTTACGAGGAACATCGTAAAGTCTACCGTGGAAGAACGACGCTAAATAGCATAGGCAAAAAGCGAGACGAAGGAGTTGTCTCACAAAGTGAGTCAGTACGCGGCGATTATCGCATGCCACGTAGTTTTCTGAATCTCGAATGTTTTGAGTCTTATACGCGCGCGCGCGCGCGCGTTATCGATACGTAACGTGGCGTAACGGGCGTGACAAGTGCGTTATTCTCACTATTGGTCTCGTGTCGTTTATGTAGACGAACAGGGCCGTCGATCGCGGCTCAATAACATCCTCGTGATCCGCACCAATGACGCGGGCGAACTTCTGGCGAAAATTTTTCATCATGCGATCAGGAAGCAGAGAACCGCTCTTGTGCTCAGAGGACGTGTGTTACTTCGCGGAATTTGTGCGTCCTTGACACGCCGCACTTGATCGAGATCACTTTTTTGATCTTACATACCGTTATACGCTTCCTCATACAATAGGCACGCTTCGACTACCATGTATAAATGTGTACGAACACGTCCGTGAAACTGGCCTTTTTTGATTATCAAGTTGTCGCTAATAACACGGAAATTATTTCTCACGCGAATATATAACTTTTACAATCACTTCTATATAATAAGCTATTGTTCATGTAACTTGTAGAAGTCAAACAGTTTAAACTTGAACGTACATATCTTGTAATGGGAAATTACATTGAATTTCCACTGCACGTTGCATCTTTTTAGCAAAAATTCAACGTAAACAAATGAAGAGTCGACGAAATTGAATGTTCTCTCTCTCTCTCTCTCTCTCTTTAAACTCTCTATTGCTTCACTCGCGAGTCTACTTAATTCTTATTTCAAAAACGCGAAAACTCTATAGACATTGATTCCAACAGCTTTTTTCCTCTAATTCGACCCCGTTTCCAGGATTTCCGGCAACCTGTTGGAAAAGGCCGTGCCGGCAGAATTGACACGGCCCTGAACGGTTGCGCATGGCACGCATTTGCCGGTTGCACACGCTCGCCAAGCCGCTCGGAACCAAAGCTTGGTCGCAGTGGGGCACGATCGATAAATTCGAAGCCGCGACGTGGTACCGGCAAGTAAGCATTCCGTCGTTATATCTGACAGTCGAAGCCAGCCGAAGCGACCAGCCAAGATGCCGGGACCAGGATGCGACAAGTGCAAAGGTGAGTGCACTCACAAAAGTATAAGCGCGACCGGCTTGTTAGCTTCTTGGTAAATCGTTTAAATAACGCGACAATGGGAAGGACTCCTCGATTTTTACTGATGATTCAGAGCGCTACTCTTAATGAGTATGCGGTGGAATAGAGAATAAATCTGCGCTACGCGGAACCGCGGCGCACGTTTCGTCAGTTATGATTCTCGGAATGGTTCGCGAATATCGAAATTTTTAAACAACTCCTTTCTGCTATATATTTCCATCCAACGTAATGTGCATGTTGTACAACTCTTTTTATTGCTCGCAGACAAGTGCAAGGACTGCAAGTGCGGTGACAGCTGCTCGTGCTGCGATTCCGGATGCAAAGGTAAGCATGTTTGTATTAACGTTAGAGAAATTAACAGCGCGTATCGCGGGCGTTCTCGCGGCGATCGCGTCGATTTATTCCTCGTTTCGTCGCGGTTCATTCTTTATTTTGTCATTAACACTGCTAACGATCCGTTATTTTTAACTGCGACCAGTTACTAGGCTCTCTCTCCCTCTTTGCCCCCGTGTCCCTCCCTCTCCACAAAGTGGAACGTATCGACTATCAAGAATGCGCTTGGAGAGCACTTTTGTTTTGCGCAGTACAACGACCGACTAATGACAGCCCCGGCCGACGCCTATTCGTCGTGTCGTTTAGCACCGTTCGCGTCGCAATTCCGCGGTGTGTTCCGCTTGCTGCGTGGTGCAATTGCGCATAACGCATTTCTCGGAGCTTCGACGGTCGTTTCGATTGGTATTGGTCATAATGAAACGAACGACCATTTCCCGGAACACATTCTCCTCTTTCGTTTTTTCTCCGCTCAACCTCGCCGTTCTTGGTCTCCCAGCGAACATATTTCGGATATTTTGAAATTCACGTGCACTAATTAAATTCCCCTATCCGTGTCGTTTTCTCACATGACAAGCGCGAATGGATAGAAACTTTAGAAAATTTAACGTGAAAAAATAAATAAATTGTCTTTTTAAAATAAATTCTTCTTTTCTCCTTTTTTTACAGATAAATGCGGCTGCAAGACGGGCGGACAGTGCTCGTGCAAGCCTTGCACCTGTTAATTAGTAACCATGACGAAAGCATCCTTTAATCTATACCAACGTTGATAATAGGCCCGCAATGCGATCGAGCAGATCCAACATATGGACAACATCCGGTGTATCTTATTATCGTTAAAGCGAAATTCCATGCTTAATGAAACTTAGAAAAACCAGCCATGTAATGCAACGTTTTATCTTGCTGCCAGAAATGGCCAACTAAGCTAATAAAATTCGTAGAATTTATTTCATTGCGTTGTATCATATCGCCACCAATATATCTCCTATCCTTACACCGTGAAGCTGTGTATTAAAAAAGAAAAAGAAAAAGCTTGTGTTATCTCGTAATGATTTCGATCTCGATGGACTGTCACGTGTGTATAAAAGAATTAAGAAAATTATTGACCAAGGAGGAAAAATTGGCGTGTGGTCATTGTTATTAAGACATTGTATACGGTATAAAATAAAAGTGCTACGAATAATCTTAATCTGACTTTAATACCTACTTCAAGCGACGGATTACGAGATAATGTTTATTGCGCAGTGCTAATTTTTGTGCCAGAGAACAATAAGGCTTATGAAGATATCTCAAAGACACCTCAAAGACATTAAGACTACCAAAGCATCTTATTGTCTCAAGGCCATTTTTTGGAATATCCGATCTGAATAAAACCGCCGACGATAAAATTATTAAAATTCGCGAGGAAAAAGTATGTATATGCGCATCTCTGATCTTTGCGTGTTTTTGACTTCACCTCATCGGCCGTCAAGATTGCTCGTTGGTAAATCTGCCGTCTTATTCGATAAGCGCGTCAATTTTATATCTCACGTCGATATGTTTGATCTGTCGGTAACCTTAATATCGACGTCAGCATCGCACGAGAGGGCGCGTCGGTCGCGGAGCGCGTATTTTCAACGTCGTGTTCTCGAATTGCAATTCGCGACCGTGTCGCGAGATGCCGAGAAGAAGCTTCGAGAAAACGAGCGACTTACGCATATGTATCTTGCCGTTGATACGGCATTTCGGCAATTACGGAGCTTCGGAGCCGTAAATCGAGGGGCGAGAGGCACGAGTAGACGAGCGGAAGTTGAGACAAATCAGTTGAGTGACTAACTCAGTTACTCACCGCCAGGACGCCATTAGCCCCTTCTCGTCCGTTATGGCGATGAATGCCTCCGATCGTCCACTTGTCGTCGTACGTATCCGTTTATTTTTCACTTATCACACATTCATTTATCACTCACCCGTTACGCGTGCACTCGTACAACCGGATGATCGAGCAGAGGGGCGCGGTTAACGGCTATTTCGTGCGCTAATCAACGCGAATACGACGATCGCACGTCGCTACGTATCGTCTCCCTCTCGATGCTCCGTGGAAATGGACGAAACGGCCCGCGCATCGGCGTGAAGTTGCCGCGGTTAACGTTCTTCACCTAAATTCGTTCACATTGTGCTTTTGTATCTAATGCCCGTTGCACATCGAACCCGATCAACGATATCCAATGAGAGCTCTTCTCTTTAAAAAGAGGCCAGTGTGCAACGGACGTGAGGTATAAACGTTTCAAAAGTGCAAGCAACGTAAACAGACCTATTCTATCTTAGATTCGTCTCGTTTCGTTTTTTGTTTCGACTGTAACGACCTGCAACGACTTGTACGAACGCCATAGAGAGTGTGCACGTACGATCGCGTTGCGTCGCGATGATTCTTAGCCAATTATTAATATACAATATCGACATCAGCCGCGTATTCCTGGTCAGATTGCGGCTTGTATTCTGGTAATACACGAGCAACAAGAAGATCGTGCAACAAGTGAAGTATAAGCGAATGGGTGCAACGACAAGAAGCAGGTATTCGAACCGCAGTAACCTATGAGAGCGAGGACGACATCGTGAGGAGAAATAAGTGAGTAAATCGATTATCATTAATCACAGCTCTCTTTGAGATTTCATTCCTACGGAATGCATCGATATCTTGAACGTCTTTCCTCTCTTTCTGACGTTCTCTCTCATGCGACATTCGCTTCATCTCATTACACGTAAATATGCCTCTACCATTATCTTAAAAATAATTATCCGCTGATTTCGGTTTTATGCGGTGCGATGTTTGCTCCACTTCTGTTAGATTAAGGAGTTAGGTTATGTTTACTTACGCGTATTCGTAAGTTGTGTCAGTTTTACGAAGAGATTCTATTTTTTACTTTATCCCTGAATGCAACGTCCTTTGCATCCGTCAGTACTTAAAGAGATTACGTTTCCGTGACAATTTAATTCCGTTTATAATCGATGTAAATGTTCGCAAGCCATCGGAAAGCGATACAAATATTTTTTGTAGAACCAGAATTAATGTCGATTGCGGATTTATTTCGGATTATCTGTTGTTTGGTTCGCTACGCCGTGATTATTATTACTCTTTATTACCTGTCAAATATTATAATAGGCCATACGAAGCATAACAGATCAATTAATAATTTAATCTTTACATATAAACGCGTTGGGTTACGCGGCGTTGTATATGTATATTTTGGATTACCGCCCAATAGCGGATCGAATAATTTTTGCTGCAATATAAATACGTATCGCGTTACTTTATACGTATTACTTTATACAGAGAAAATGTCTCCTGTTATATATATTTTAACGGCAGATATATTAGAAACGAAACCGGTAATAATGGTAAGTACATCAATATCATAATATCAATCACTTTTGCATAACAAATGATTGAAAATGTAATTCTCTCTCACG